TAGCAGCCGTGTTAGTCTGTATCTGCAAAAAGAACAGGAGTACTTGAGGCACCTTAGAGACTAACAAATTTATTAGAGCATAAACTTTTGTGGGCTACAGCCCACTTCATCGGATGCATAAAATGGAAGATATAGTAAAAAAAAAAATATATATATATATATATATACACACACACACACACACATATGGGATAAGTTGGAAGTTACCATACAAACTGTGATAGGCTAATTAGTTAAGATGAGCTATTATCAGCAGGAGAAAAAAACTTTTGTAGTGATAACCAAGAACTTGATTATCCGAGTGCGTGTTTGCTGAGTGAGTATCCGAGTGTGTGTTTGCTGGGAGGGCAGTTTGAAAGCCTGAGCGAGTGCCTGATTGGGTGGTAGCCTGCAGGGGGCAGGTATTGGGGGTGTCTGTTTGTTTGTTTCAGGGAAGCCTGGCTGTTTAAAAATAGCCAGAGCTCCGCGAACCAGCTGAGCGGCGGCAAACCAGCTGAGCAGCGGGGAAGAGCAGAACATCACACAGCAGGAGTTTGCCTAGGAGTTTGCCTGGGGTGAGCCCAGTGAGGCTTACATCTTGCCAGCTTCTCTGAGGAAGCTCAAAGTAGGAAGGTGATATGGGGTGGGGGGGTTCAGCTGCTGTTACCTGCACAGGATGTGCCATGTTTGTCTTTCTTCCACAGGACAGAAGCGACTTTGTCTGTACAAAGTGCAAGCTAGTATCCATATTGGAAGAGAAGATCGAAGGTCTGGAGCAGCAGATATCGACCCTGCGTTGCATACGAGAATCTGAGGATTTTCTGGACAAAAGTCAGGATATGCTTCTACGGGCACAAAGCTCTAAAGATTTAGAGCAGGTTGCACAGCGGAGCCAAGAGGCCTGTGAAGAAGCTTGGCAACATGTGACCTCCAGAAGAAGAAGGGGGAATGTCCAGGTACCAGCAACGCAGACACAGGTAAGTAACCGTTTTCATGTTCTCTCCACAGGTACCATTGCGGAGAGTGGACCAGATGATACGTCTGGGGGGAGAAAGCAGAAGGAGACTCCGCTGGTTGGAAGGCATGAGATGCGCTGTCCTGAGGTTGGGGGTTCCACGACCACCACTCCCAAGAGAAGGAGGCGGGTGGTGGTGGTCGGGGACTCTCTCCTCAGGGGGACTGAGTCATCTATCTGCCGCCCTGACTGGGAAAACAGAGAAGTCTGCTGCTTGCCAGGGGCTAAGATTCGCGATGTGACGGAGAGACTGCCAAGACTCATCAAGCCCTCGAATTGCTACCCCTTCCTGCTTCTCCACGTGGGCACCAATGATACTGCCAAGAATGACCTTGAGCGGACCACTGCGGACTACGTGGCTCTGGGAAGAAGGATAAAGGAGTTTGAGGCGCAAGTGTGTTCTCGTCCATCCTCCCCGTGGAAGGAAAAGGCCGGGGTAGGGACCGTCGAATCGTGGAAGTCAACGAATGGCTACGCAGGTGGTGTCGGAGAGAAGGCTTTGGATTCTTTGACCATGGGATGGTATTACATGAAGGAGGAGTGCTGGGCAGAGACGGGCTCCACCTAACGAAGAGAGGGAAGAGCATCTTTGCGAGCAGGCTGGCTAACCTAGTGAGGAGGGCTTTAAACTAGGTTCACTGGGGGAAGGAGACCAAAGCCCTGAGCTAAGTGGGCAAGTGGGATACCGGGAGGAAGCACAGGCAGGAACGTCTGTGAGGGGAGGGCTCCTACCTCATACTGAGAATGAGGGGTGATCAGCAGGTTATCTCAAGTGCCTATATACAAATGCACAAAGCCTTGGAAACAAGCAGGGAGAACTGGAGGTCCTAGTGATGTCAAGGAATTATGACGTGATTGGAATAACAGAGACTTGATGGGATAACTCACATGACTGGAGTACTGTCATGGATGGTTATAAACTGTTCAGGAAGGACAGGCAGGGCAGAAAAGGGGGGGGAGTAGCACTGTATGTAAGGGAGCACTATGACTGCTCAGAGCTCTGGTACGAAACTGCAGAAAAACCTGAGTGTCTCTGGATTAAGTTTAGAAGTGTGAGCAACAAGAGTGATGTAGTGGTGGGAGTCTGCTATAGACCACCGGACCAGGGGGATGAGGTGGATGAGGCTTTCTTCAGGCAACTTGCAGAAGCTACTAGACCGCAAGCCCTGGTTCTCATGGGCGACTTTAAACATCCTAATATCTGCTGGGAGAGCACTACAGCAGTGCATAGACAATCCAGGAAGTTTTTGGAAAATGTAGGGGACAATTTCCTGGTGCAAGTGCTGGAGGAGCCAACTAGGGGCAGAGCTCTTCTTGACCTGCTGCTCACAAAACGGGAAGAATTAGTAGGGGAAGCAAAAGTGGATGGGAATCTGGGAGGCAGTGACCATGAGTTGGTCGAGTTCTGGATCCTGACACAGGGAAGAAAGGTAAGCAGCAGAATACGGACCCTGGACTTCAGGAAAGCAGACTTCGACTCCCTCAGGGAACTGATGGGTAGGATCCCCTGGGGGACTAACATGAAGGGGAAAGGAGTCCAGGAGAGCTGGCTGTATTTCAAGGAATCCCTATTGAGGTTACAGGGACAAACCATCCCTATGTGTCGAAAGAATAGTAAATATGGCAGGCGACCAGCTTGGCTTAACGGTGAAATCCTTGCTGATCTTAAACACAAAAAAGAAGCTTACAAGAAGTGGAAGATTGGACAAATGACCAGGGAAGAGAATAAAAATATTGCTTGGGCATGTAGGAATGAAATCAGGAGGGCCAAATCACACCTGGAGCTGCAGCTAGCAAGAGATGTTAAGAGTAACAAGAAAGGCTTCTTCAGGTATGTTGGCAACAAAGAAGAAAGCCAAGGAAAGTGTGGGCCCCTTACTGAATGAGGGAGGCAACCTAGTGACAGAGGATGTGGAAAAAGCTAATGTACTCAATGCTTTCTTTGCCTCTGTCTTCATGAACAAGGTCAGCTCCCAGACTGCTGCGCTGGGCAACACAGCATGGGGAGTAGGTGTCCAGCCCTCTGTGGAGAAAGAGGTGGTTAGGGACTATTTAGAAAAGCTGGACATGCACAAGTTCATGGGGCTGGATGCGTTGCATCCGAGAGTGCTAAAGGAATTGGCGGCTGTGATTGCAGAGCCATTGGCCATTATCTTTGAAAACTCGTGGCGAACGGGGGAAGTCCCAGATGACTGGAAAAAGGCTAATTAGTGCCAATCTTTAAAAAAGGGAAGGAGGAGGATCCTGGGAACTACAGGCCAGTCAGCCTCACCTCAGTCCCCGGAAAAATCATGGAGCAGGTCCTCAAGGAATCTATCCTGAAGCACTTACACGAGAGGAAAGTGATCAGGAGCAGTCAGCATGGATTCACCAAGGGAAGGTCATGCCTGACTAATCTAATCGCCTTCTATGATGAGATTACTGGTTCTGTGGATGAAGGGAAAGCAGTGGATGTATTGTTTCTTGACTTTAGCAAAGCTTTTGACATGGTCTCCCACAGTATTCTTGTCAGCAAATTAAAGAAGTATGGGCTGGATGAATGCACTATAAGGTGGGGAGAAAGTTGGCTAGATTGTCAGGCTCAACGGTTAGTGATCAATGGCTCCATGTCTAGTTGGCAGCCGGTATCAAGTGGAGTGCCCCAAGGGTCGGTCCTGGGGCCGGTTTTGTTCAATATCTTCATAAATGATCTGGAGGATGGTGTGGATTGCACTCTCAGCAAATTTGCGGATGATACTAAACTAGGAGGAGTGGTAGATACGGTGGCAAGTAGAGATAGGATACAGAGGGCCCTAGACAAATTGGAGGATTGGGCCAAAAGAAATCTGATGAGGTTCAAGGACAAAGATAAGTGCAGGGTCCTGCACTTAGGACGGAAGAATCCAATGCACCGCTACAGACTAGGGACCAAATGGCTAGGCAGCAGTTCTGCGGAAAAGGACTTAGGGGTGACAGTGGACAAGAAGCTGGATGTGAGTCAACAGTGTGCCCTTGTTGCCAAGAAGGCCAATGGCATTTTGGGCTGTATAAGTAGGGGCATAGCCAGCAGATGGAGGGATGTGATCATTCTCCTCTATTTGACATTGGTGAGGCCTCATCTGGAGTACTGTGTCCAGTTTTGGGCCCCACACTACAAGAAGGATGTGGATAAATTGGAGAGAGTCCAGCGAAGGGCAACAAAAATGATTAGGGGTCTAGAACACATGACTTATGAGGAGAGGCTGAGGGAGCTGGGATTGTTTAGCCTGCAGAAGAGAAGAATGAGGGGGGATTTGATAGCTGCTTTCAACTATCTGAGAGGTGGTTCCAAAAAGGATGGTTCTAGACTATTCTCAGTGGTAGAAGATGACAGGACAAGGAGTAATGGTCTCAAGTTGCAGTGGGGGAGGTTTAGGTTGGATATTAGGAAAAACTTTTTCACTAGGAGGGTGGTGAAACACTGGAAAGGGTTACCTAGGGAGGTGGTAGAATCTCCTTCCTTAGAAGTTTTTAAGGTCAGGCTTGACAAAGCCCTGGCTGGGATGATTTAATTGGGGATTGGTCCTGCTTTGAGCAGGGGGTTGGACTGGATGACCTCCTGAGGTCCCTTCCAACCCTGATATTCTATGATTCTATGTATATCTATCTATCTATCTATCTATATCTCTATCTCTCTTACTATATGTTCCATTCTATGCATCCGATGAAGTGGGCTGTAGCCCACGAAAGCTTATGCTCTAATAAATTTGCCGCCAAGATCTCTTTCTTGAGTTGTAACAGCTAATTTAGACCCCATCATTTTATATTTATAGTTGGGAATATGTTTTCCAATGTTCATTACTTTGCATTTATCAACACTGAATTTCATTTGCCATTTTGCGCCCAGTCACCCAGTTTTGTGAGATCCCTTTGTAGCTCTTCGCTGTACAAAAAGCAACCAGATGGCATGTAAACAACTGTGTGGAATGAGCATAGATCAGATTCTTGCAGGAGAGGAAACGAAGAGAGAAAGGGAGAAGAGAGCAACTCAAGATTAACAGGTATTTATTTTTTCCTTTGCAGCGTTACAAAGAAATACAGTGAAATCATACATTGGAAATTAGATACAACAATACACCATTTTAGTGAAGTTGAATGAAAGTCCCAAATTCTTTCAAACATGTGCAATTTATAGTTTAATTAGGATGAAACTTCTCTTACCCAAGGTTTTCAGAGATAGTAACGCTATGTAAATTGGGTGAAATAGTGGCTCCATTGAGGTTCATGGCAATATCCTGACTGACTTCAGTGGAGCCTGGATTTCATTCATTGTGTTTATTAGTTGTTTTTCTTATTGGAGTTGTTAAATGATAATCACAGACTATCAGTGGATTGTTTCTTGTTTGTTTTTTCCCTTTGGAAATAATTGCAAGTTCAGCAACTCCTAACAACTCACTACTATCTCTGAAAACCTTGGGTAAGAGAATCAGCTCTTCACTAGGTGTTAAATTGATGTTATAAGTGATGTTTCACAGCATGATCTACACCATACTGACTTTCTTTCACTGTTGTGTAACAGAGGTGAAATATACAGTATACATTCAAGAGGCACTGCCAAATTTGAGAACAAAAAACAGTAGAAGTCTATTTAGTAGTTTTTTTTTTTTAACCTTCTGTGGTGTTACTATTTCATGGAATCTTATGATAGGTTTAAAGATGTAGGGGCTAAATAAAGTCCTTTTGAAACGTGTCACTCACAATTCTACAATGACTGTGACTGGCTTAATAATTAATAAGGAGTTGTAGCTCTGAAAAAATACACAGCCTAGTATGGGGAGCTCAGTCTTAATTTGGTGAGTTTATAGTTTCTTCAGACTACATTTGCATATTAGAGATAAGTCTGGCTAGTTTGCTTCATTTTATACAAAGTAAGTCCCACTCTTGGGCTCCTGGATAATTACCAAAAGGGACCTCAGGAAGGTAAAAAGTGGGGACCCTGAGCCACATACTCCAGCCCCCTCCACAAAAACAAGACCGTCATTTTTGCTCAGCGGTGGCCTTAATTCTCATGAAAGGAAAGGACCTTGCTTTTTGAGGAGCCTCACCCCTCAAATAACCCATCAGTCAAGAGCGCTGTACCCAAATATCCTTTCATGGTGGACACAACAAAAATTAAAGATCTTTACCTGTAATTATTCCTCTCTGACGATATCTTGCGGGATTCTTACTCCTGGGCATTAGCTCCTTAGTTTCAATTATAAGTCCCTTAGTTCATAATGTTTTTCTAACTTTTAAGGGCAGCAGTAGCATGGTCGATAGCAAGCTTGGTACCCTACTGCCTGTTGTTTGCTACCCTCTGCCAAGTATAAATGTTGCCTATGAATGTTCCAGTCAGTTCCTTCCATTGACATTGGTAATGAATGTAGAAAAGGGCATTCAAAATTTCAAGATGACCAACATAAGATGAAAAATATGGCCAGGGGAGTGGGAGCATTCAAAAACATTAATTTCCAAACTCTGAGGGGATGTGGGCAGGTGAGAGAGTACTCTGCAAGATAATATCTTCAGAGAAACAGAATCATACGTAAGTAATTTTCTCTTCTCTAGAGATTCCACCTGTGTAGGATTCTCACTCCTGGGATCAAGAAGTATCTAATAATAATGGCTTTATAGTAATAATGGTAATAGACAACTTTGCCTCTCCCCACAACCCTTTAGCCACCATTCCTCAGCCAGATACAAGGATCTGATCTGTTTGCTAAGGGATTAAAGAGCTTGTCCCCTTTATCTCTGAGGGTATGTCTACACTACGAAATTAGGTTGATATTAAAGAAGTCGATTTTTAGAAATCGATTTTATACAGTTGACTGTGTATGTCCACACTAAGCACATTAAGTCGGCGGAGTGCGTCCTCACTACCGTGGCTAGCATCGACTTACAGAGCGGTGCACTGTAGGTAGCTATCCCACAGTTCCCGCAGTCTCCGCTGCCCATTGGAATCCTGGGTTAAGCTCCCAATGCCTGATGGGGAAAAAACATTGTCGCGGGTGGTTTTGGGTACATGTCGTCAGTCGCCCTTCCCTCCGTGAAAGCAACAGCAGACAATCATTTTGCGCCTTTTTTCCCACGCAGACGCCATACTACGGCCAGTGTGCAGCCCGCCCAGCTCAGCTCACTGACACTGCCGCTGTTGTGTCCTGGGTGCTGCTGGCAGCAGACGGTGCAGTAGGACTGCTAACTATCATCATACACTGCTTCAGCTAAAACTCTGCTCTGCTGCTATTGTCTCAATAGTTAATTTCTCCATGTTGTCTGTCATGGGCTCCCGGGTACATGTGTTCTTCCTCGGGAAATGTTCACGGTGCTAACTGTCATCCTCCTCTGCTTCCGCTGCAACTCTGCTCTCCTGCTCTCATGAATCCACCTTGCAGGTTCTCTTGTTGTTCTCTATAAATATCTATTCTCGTGGCATCCGTCTTTAGCCACTGATTCCACTGCAACTCTGCTATCCTGCAGACGCCATACCACGGCAAGCATGGAACCCGCTCAGATCACCAAAGCAGTTATGAGCATTATAAGGAGCTGTTTAACTATAGGCTGAGCAAGTGCAGAATGGTGGTAGGATGTGCATTTGGATGTTTAAAAGAGCGCTGGCACAGTTTACTGACTCTGTTAGACCTCAGCGAAACCAATATTCCCATTGTTATTGCTGCTTGCTGTGTGCTTCACAATATCTGTGAGAGTAAGGGGGAGACGTTTATGGCGGGGTGGGAGGTTGAGGCAAATCGCCTGGCCACTGATTATGCACAGCCAGACACCAGGGTGGTTTGAAGAGCACAGCAGGGTGCGGTGAGCATCAGAGAAGCTTTGAAAACCAGTTTCAAGACTGGCCAGGCTACAGTGTGACAGCTCTGTTTGTTTCTCCTTGATGAAAACCCGCCCCCTTGGTTCACTCTACTTCCGTGTAAGCCAACCGCCCTCCCCACTTCGATCATTGCTTGCAGAGGCAATAAAGTCATTGTTGTTTCAAAATCATGCATTCTTTATTAATTCATCACACAAATAGGGGGATAACTGCCAAGGTAGCCCGGGAGGGGTGGTGGATGAGGGAAGGACAAGGCCACACTGAACTTCAAAACTTATTGAATGCCAGCCTTCTGTTGCTTGGGCAGTCCTCTGGGGTGGAGTGTTTGGATTTCCAGAGCATCCCCACTGCGTTCTTGGGCGTCTGGGTTAGGAGGCTATGGAACTTGAGGAGGAGGGCAGGCGGTTACAGCAGCGGCGGTCTGTGCTCCTGCTGCCTTTTCTGCAGCTCAACCAGACACCAGAGCATATCAGTTTGATCCCGCAGTAGCCTCAGCATTGCATCCTGCCTCCTCTCATCACACTGCCGCCACCTCTCATCTCACTTGTCCCTCCTGTCCTCGCGTTTGTTTTTTGCTTTCCTGGACTCTGACATTGTTTGCCTCCACGCATTCTGCTGAGCACTTTCAGTGCGGGAGGACTGCATGAGCTCAGAGAATATTTCATTGCGAGTGCATTTTTTTCGCCTTCTTATCTGCGCTAGCCTCTGGGGCGGAGATGATAGGGGGAGTGTTGAAACATTTGCAACTGCAGGGGGAAAAAAAGGGAGAGTAGTATTCGAAAAGACACATTTTAGAGAACAACGGGTAGACTCTTTCATGGTGAACCAAGCTGTTAACATTACATAGCACATGTGCTTTTGGTACAAGATCACATTTTGCCTCTTATATTGAGGGCCTGCTGGTTTGGTGTGAGAGATCACACACACAGGGCAGGGCAGCAGAATTCAGCTTGCAGGCAGCCATGGTAAGCCACACTGTTTCGGCTTCTTCAACCTTCATAGCATATGGGAATGGTTTCAAACAGCAGCACCCTCCTTTCCCATACCAAGCACCCATTGGGTTGGCCATTTAAAAGGAGGGGCTGTACTGGCCGTGAATGCATCCCAAGTCTTCAGAGTAAATTAATCATTAAACACACTTGCTTTTAAACCATGTATTACATTTACAAAGATACACTCACCAGAACTGCCTTCTCCGGCTTCATGGTCTGGGAGCCTGCCTTGGGAGGGTTGGGAAGATATTGGCTCCAGGGTGATAAAGAGTTCCTGGCTGTCGGGGAGAATGGTTTCTCTGCTTGCCTGCTGTGCACTATCCTCCTCCTCCTCCTCGTCCCACAAATCCTCATGCCTGTTGCATGAGACTACCCCCTTGCAGGTGTCCACGGACAGGGGTGGGGTAGTAATCGGGCCCCCCTGTAGAACTGCATGCAGCTCACCATAGAAGCAGCATGTATGGGGCTCTGACCTGGAGCAGCCCTTTGCCTCTTTGATTTTTTGGCAGGCTTGCCTGAGCTCCTTAATTTTCACGCGGCACTGCTGCGGGTCCCTGTGTCCATCATGCCCTTGGAGATTTTTACAAATATTTTGCCATTTCGTCTTTTGGAACTGAGTTCTGATAGCATGGATTCGTCTCCCCATACAGTGATCAGATCCAGTACCTCCCATTTGGTCCATGCTGCATCTCTTTTGTGATTCTGGGACTGCATGGTCACCTGTGCTGATGAGCTCACCATGCTGGCCAAACAGAAATGAAATTCAAAAGTTCCCGGGACTTTTCCTGTGTACCTGGCTAGTGCATCTGAATTGAAAGTGCTGTCCAGAGCGGTCAAAATGGCACATTCTGGGATAGCTCCCAGAGGCCAGTACCATTGAATTGCATCCACACTACCCCAAATTTGACCAGGCGATGTCGATTTCAGCGCTAATCCCCTCGTAGGGGAGGAGTACAGAAATCGATTTTAAGAGCCCTTTAAGTCGACAAAAATGGTTTTGTCATGTGGGCAGGTGCAGGGTTAAATCGATCTAACGCTGCTAAATTCAACCTAAACTTGTAGTGTAGACCAGGGCTAAGAGGAGTTATAATGCCTTTTATATCGTGGGGCTTGTCTACACTACCAAGTTTTGTTGACAAAACTTATGTCAATATCCAAAAGTTGCCAAAACAAAAATCGCCAAAGGGTGTTCACACTTGTTCCCTCTGTCAAAAGATCATGTCCACATTGGGGACATGATCATCGACAGGGTGAGCAATGCATTGTGGGTATCCCGCAGTGTAGTGTTGTGAGAAGGAAGAGCTGATCGCTGTGCATCTTGGGATTCTCTCCCAGTTCTCCCACAGCTCCCTCAGCTGCTGAGAGCAGCATTATGAGCAGCTCTGTGAGCTCTCCATGCTGAGGAATGGCAAAGCAGCAGAGCAGTCTTTCTGCTGCCTGCTGCTGTGTTCCTAGTGCAGGGCAGAACAGCAGCATCCCAATTATTTGCTCTTAGTTTGTTCCCCAAAGGGAGCAGCACACAGATACTTCCTGTAGCTTTGAAAGGGGAGGGGCGCATGCCTGTAGGGCAGCAGAGATCAAAACACTGAGCAGAGAAATCAGGGGTGTTTGGGCTGAGCAGAACTTAAGAAAATTTGTGAGAAAAAGACCCAGGTGGATAGGCCTTTTGTCATTTCAAACCTCTTCTCTGAGTGCTTTGTACCCTGGGGTGAATAAATAATACTTTATTTTGAAGAAACTGTTTTGAGTCACTCTATTCAGCTGCTGGTCACATGTTCCCACAGAAAAGGTCTTGGAGGTGCCATATACCTGGGCCTGTTGTTTTTTCATGGGTAGTAAACAGAGGGGCTGATGAAGTGAGCTGTAGCTCATGAAAGCTTATGCTCAAATAAATTGGTTAGTCTCTAAGGTGCCACAAGTACTCCTTTTCTTTTTGCGGCTACAGACTAACACGGCTCTCACTCTGAAGACTAAGAATGGCAGGACTGTGTGGTTCCACCCAGAATGGCTAAAGGTAGCAAAACCTGCCACCAGAGGCATGCACTTGAGAGGGACTGCAAAGGGGTCTGTAACTGAGAATTCATCTAAGCAACCATTAAAGGAAAACAACAATATTTACAAATATTTGAAGAGTATATAAAACAAGCATGGAGAGGATTATTTAAGGTGGCTATAAAGCACTATAACTAGCAGTAAAAAGATTAAATTAAGCAAAAATTCAGGTAGAATATCAGATAAATCTTCCTGACCATGAAATCTATTAGGCTGTTTTCAGTTTTTCAAGAAAAATGGTAGAAGCCCCATCAAATTGAAAATTTAAAATTTGACTGGACAAAACAACTGAAAAATGTTATGTAAAGAACAATCCTATATTGGCCACCGGAGGTTAGACTAAATGACTATTTGGTCTTCTTCATTTCTGACTTCTCTAAATCTGTTGTTTTAATTACCTGAGGCATCTCACCTAACTGAAGCTACAGGTTTTATTTCGAGGGCAGGGAGTCAACTCAAGACTGTACTATGATTATACTTCTATCACATTTGCAAATTAGAAAAGTAAGTGAAATTTTTTTCAATCTACACTCAAAGAAGAGACATTTTTTATGAAAGGGAGACAGTGTGTAAGGTTTTTGATTTTTTAAAATCCTAAAGTACAGTATATGTAATAGCTAAAAAGTAAAAGAAACAGTTGGTGATAAAATGTGATGATGATCAGAAAAGTAGTCATGTAAATATGACACCTTCTTACTCAACAGATCTGTCCGATGTCTGTATTAAGATGTATTTGCTCATTTTTTTCAGACAAAAATAGATTTGTATTCCTTTTTATTCCTTTTAGTCCCACAGAGTCAACAGAGGTGACAGAGAGAGAACTAGAGTCTATTCTGCCTGGTAGATCAGCAACAGAATTGTTAAATAAATTCTGACTGAAAAAAAAAATTAGTACTGATGATAATACATGAGTTATAGTTAACAATTTAGGTGGAGACAGAGGCACCAGCATTTAGAAAAAAAATCTCTCAAATTTGATCTGGAAGCCATTGAGACACGGAATTCCACAATGCAACTTTTACAGAGTCAGTTTGCAGAGTATACAGTGACTTCGTTTTAAAAAAGGAGAGCTTCTACTGAGATTGAAAACAGTGAATTTCCATCAAGGGGATCAGGAGAGCGATGTGCTTTCATTTCGGGTTCAGGAGGCAACACAAGTGACAAATAGTTACTTTATTTAGAGAGAAACAGCGTGCTGGTCTGCATTAGTCTGGAATCAGTTTTGCAGGAATGACAGTTAAAGAAGCCAGATGTTCAGATATTACAATGATGAGTGCAGCATAAATGCCTAGATACCTATGATTCCCTTAAAATAGATAAAGCACAGGAGATTACAGGAAGTGACCAAAGCAACCGGAAATGTAATATAAATGTAATATAAAATTTTTGCTAGCTTTGGGAAAGATTGTGGAGTACTGCAAAGTAACAAGGGACCCTGTATTTAAAATGATGGAAGTAAGAGACAAAGAAGAAAGCTACCAATCCAAAAAGTTTAAAATCTTTTACTGTATTGAAACTCTCTGAGGATGTGTGGTATGAGAATACATGGAAAAAACCTTGCTGACGACTGATAGTCAGAAGTACTCAGGCATGCAAAGGACATTTCAGTGGATGATGTACACTAGATATTAAAAAATCATTTGACAAGATTCCATTTCAGAAATAAGTGGTGAAGGCAAAGTGTTCATTAACAGGAAATAAAACAGGGAGAAAAGTTGGCTGAGTTAGGAAACACAGAAGTACCACATAAGGAAAGTTTACAAGTTTGAAAGAGAGTGAGCTGAGCATCTCAAAAATTAATTTTAAGACCCTTCTTGTTGCAAAGGGTACAGCTGCACTAAAGAAGCTAACACATATAGGGGTCACTTTATCAGAAGGGCAGAATGCCAAAGAGCAAAGATGATGATAGGACTTGATAAATACGATTCCTGCTTTAGTGCTTTCCATTGCTTTTGATATTTTTATTGGTTCTTTAATCAAATTATAACTCATTTGTAGATGTGAAAATGACTGGATAAATATCCTTCTGAAATGAACACAAAAATCTTTTAAAATAAATTGGTTAGAATTTTTGTTAATTTGAACATCACACCTGTAAGACTGACTTGGTTTGATAGCTTGTTGAGAAGCTGCCTGAGGCAGTTTTGACCTGGTTTTCTTGCCAATTAAAATTTTCAATTGAAAAAACATATAAAGCTCTTAACACTGAAAAAAATAGCAAATTCTGTGGCCTCTCAGTCAGTTGCTTTGGTGGCATTCTATTGGTTTTAAACTTAGAAAATCTGAATAACATTTGAGAGACAGCTATTTTTGAAGGGATAGTGGAGAGATTTGAAATGAGTTCTAGATGCATCCAACAGTCCTTCTACTTTGTTGGAGGAAACCATTCCTCCACCCTCCTAATGTAATGTCCCCTTTTGATACCCATTCCCAAACACCAGGCTGGGAACCAGCAAAGGGAGAAATGTCATATTGAGAGCTGAGGCTGGGAGTTGGGGAAGAACTGGAATGAAACTGGCATTGAGATCAGACAGACCTGTTCCTAGGACCTCCAGCAATGCAAGGTTGTTGGGGAATGAGATGACCTCAGCCTTCTACAGTTGTGAGCTTGCTGAGTATGTTTGGGTACTTGATAAAAGAGGTGGAAGGACTCTTGTGTTTGGAGAAGGGAGAGCAGGTGGAAGGATAGAGAGGAGAGGAGGAGCAAGATTATTGTGTCGGAGTGGAAGTAATAGTAATAGTAGTGGTCAGTTTCTCAGTGTAGAACAAAAAATACAAGAATTCTCAGTTTTCTCAGGGTTAAAGTGAAAACCAGAAAACTCATAGGGAAAGTCCTGGTTTGACATTATCTGAAATATTGTTTGTAATGTTGGGAACTATCCTACAAAGGAGAAGTGAATGTCTTGAATAATCTGATATTATAAAAATTGTTTGCTTGATCCAATACTGTGCTGGGCTCTATCCCAGAGGAAAGAGATTGTTGCCTTGAGGAATGTTATTCTCTTACATTATAAAGCAATTGTTAGACCTTTTCTATAATAATTAGGCACCCTTCAAAACAGTACATGTCAACACAGGTAACATCAAATCTGAATAATCTAAGTTATCAGGAAAAGTTGAGAGATCAGTTTGTTTTAATTGTAAGAAGGAAGACTTTAATGTAACATAATTCTTTTCTATGAAATTATGACAGAGATGAAAGGAGTCTATAGAGACAGAATGTTCATTATGGTACTGGGTTCAAAAGCATGATCCAAACCCAAGAAAATTAGGAGTAACTGAGAACTCCAGCATGTCTTAGGAGAGGTGTGGGCTAGTAGTTTGAGTCCAGGAGAAGAAAGCAGTAAATTCTTATTTCTATTTTAGGCTCTGACAATGACTTGTCTCATTGAGCAAATCACACAGGGTCAGATCCTGGCCCCTGCTCCATACAAATAGGCCAAAAAGCTGCCATAAGTGGGCAATTGAAGATTCTCTCAGCATTGAGGATGTGTTAGGGGCACGCCTGAGTGAGAGGGTGTATGTCTGGAATATGCTGCACTCTGGCAATTTTCCTCTGCTACAAAGGAATCTTTGGGCCAGTTGCAAGCCAGTGTTGTTTAGAACATCAACCTCAGAATCAGGGATCTGTAAAAGAATCTTTTTTTAGCATCTTTCCTCAACTGTAAATGGGGAATCATTGAGTGGGGGGTCTTTCTAGTGGGGTCCCACATGGATCAGCTCTTGGCCCCACACTATATAACATTTTTACGAATTACCTGGAAGAAAACTTAAAATCATCACAGATAAAATTTGCAGATGACACAAAAACTGGGAAAGTAATAAATAATTAAGAGGACAGGTCATTGATATTAGGTGATCTAGATTGCTTGCTAAATTGGGTGCAAGCAAACAATATGTGTTTTAATATGGCTAAATGTAAATGTATACATCTAGGAACAAAAAATATAGGCCATACTTACAGGATGGGGACCTCTATCCTGGGAAGCAGTGACTGGACATGAGCTCCCAATGTGACACAGTGGTCAAAAGGGCTAATACGATCCTTGGATAAACAGGGGAATCTCAAGTAGGAGTAGAGAAGTTTTTTACCTTTGCGTTTGGCATTAGTGTGACTGCGTTCTGGTATCCATCATTCAAGAAGAATTTTGATAAACTGGAGAAGGTTCAGAGATGAGCCAGGAGACTGATTAAAGGATTAGAAAACATGCCTTACAGTGATGGAGTCAAGGAGCTCCATCTATTTAACTTAAAGAGAAGGCTTGGGGTGACTTGATTACAGTTTATAGGTACCTGCCTGGGGGACAAGCAGGTACCTTTGATAATAGGCTGTTCAATCCAGGTTTGACATGATCCAATGGTTGGAAGCTGAACCTAAACAAATTCAGATTGGAAATTAGGTGTAAATTTTTAACAGTGAGAGTAACTAATCATTGGAACAATTTACCAAGGGTCTTGGTGGATTCTCCGTTCTTGGCAATTTTAAAATCAAGATTGGATGCTTTTTTTTCTAAAAGATATAGTGTAGGAATTATTGTGGGGGAAGTTCTATAGCCTGTGTTTTGCAGGAAGTCAGACTAGATTATCACAAGGATCCCTCCTACCTTTGGAATCCAAAAACTATGCAAAGTGCCTACAGAGCACAGCTGAGCATTCAGCCCTTAATGTCTCTGAGCCTCAGCAATACGTGGCTAATAGTTAATTACCTACCTTACAGTGGTACTGCAAGGATTTCTGTAGATAATGTTGGTAAAATGATTTTATACTGAATAGCATTGTACAAATGCTAGGTCCTGCAAACTGTAATATACCTACAGAATAAATTCAGATGAGGAGATTGCAGCAAAGAGTTTAAATGAGATTACTGCATCTCTCAATCTTTTCTAAGAGGAGAAGGGATTGAGTAATCCTACGACAAAGCATGATGAAGATACAGAGATCAATATTAAAGTGCTGGTATGTTGGGTTGAAGCAGGGCTCACTGGAGCCAGATAATAGTCTTTTCCGGTTCCTCACATTTCCTATGATTTTTTTTTCAAATTGTGCTAATTTGGAAGTGAAATCTAAGCAGGTAGGCAGGACAGCAGGAAATAAATGCCAAGAAAATAAGCAAGTGGACAGTGCAGCAAAAGGGCAATGCCAGTGTATAATCAGACTCAAAGGGCAGCAAGGGTATCATGTAAGCTAGAAAGCAGGTGGAAAAGCAGAAGGGAAATGCTAGACACTCAGCAAGTCAATAAAGCAGTATCAAGCAATCAGCAGATGCACAAAGCAGCAGGACAGCAATTCCAGGAAGTCAACAGCTGCACACAACAGAAGGAGGACAATATCAAGCACTCAAAAAAGGAGGCAGGACAGCAGGAAGTCAATGCCCACGTGCAATCTGATGTAAAGAGCAGTAAGAAATCAATGCAAGCCACTCAACAGATGGATAGGGCAAAATATAGTCAATGCCAGGCAATCAGGTGGTCAAGAGGGGAAAGCCGTACAATCAAGCAGAAGGCCAGGGCCTCAGGGGGGCAATGCTGAGCTGCCAGTAGGTAGACATAGCATAAAGAGAGCAATGAATGCCAAGCAATCCCTAGGTGGACAGGGATAGCAAGAGGGCAATGTCCATTAATAATCAAATACTACTGCCGGCATGGAGAAAATGGAAGCCCGATAATA